GCAGGAGGGTTGCATAAAAAAAAGTGAAGTAAGACCGGAAATTGTCGGGCCTTAATCGATCCAGTGATATTAAAGTTGAATTCGAGTTAGGCCTGAATAAATATAAATTGAGTTTTCTGAAGTTTGGGAAAACTTTGTAAACAAAGTGTTAATAACTGTTAAAATTATGATGAAGCACCGATTGACGTTATATTTAAATTAAGATTGTAGTCAAACCAGTAACCCATTAAAATGAAATTAAAGCTTCACCATAATCAAAACAGGATTCATATAAGACAGAGAGATTGAAAAAAGAGTTAAGCGGAATATATTGTGGTTTAACTGAGCCAACATAAATAAAATCTAGTTAATTGATGCACAATTTAAACGGTTCACAATAAAATATATTTGTTGAAATCGAATTAAAGCGGATTATGAACTCTCAAAAGACTTAGGCCCAATGAATATTTAAATTTGAAAACTTTGCTGCTCTTAAATTGCATTAAACATTCATATGGTTAATGGGGCAGTCTAGTACTCTGATTTATTTTGATGGCCCCGCACTTGATTTGGGGTGGCTCGCTCCTTAAATATATGTCCTTCGCAAATAACTAATGGTAAATAATGGAAGTGTGTGTCGCACAAGTTTCGTCGAGGTGCCAGTGCACAAATTTCTGTGGTCAGCCGCAGCCAATCAACCGCAGAGTGTCAGCTGCCAATTGTCTTTGGTCCAGGTTGCAAAGAACTCGACTTGCAGATACCGATTGGTTCGAAATTTCCAACTTCTACAGCAGCAAACCAAGGATTGAAGGATTTCAATTCCTGAAACCCAGGAAAACCGCTTTAAAGCGAGCTCTCCTTTCCAATTCTTTCGAATTAATCGTTCTAAACATTACCTTTTGTAGCTGATAAGTTTATTAAGGCTCTCAAAGGGGAGTTTTTTGTAATTGTTTCTATATTGTTTAGTCTTCTCTGCAGTTTCAAAGGGTATTTGTTCTTTGCTGGTTTTTACAGGGTATGCGCTTAGCTGCCCCAGCACATGATAAATGAAGGCAATTTCTCAGGCTCTTTTTCTCCAGTCTCTCAGTTTCCCTTTGTTTCTCCATCTATCCTGCTGTATGAGCTATGGCAAATCGCTGCGAAAAATACGGGAGAAGATTTATCTAACATGTCCAGTGGGTGGGAGAAAAAGAGAGAGAAATGGAAATGGAAAAACCGGGGGAGAACCCCACTGAGAAATGACGTCTAGACGTTTTTTGTTCTCCGTCCTCTGTTGTTTTTTAGCGGTACTTTGTGGGGGCTCATTAAAGGAACCTGGCTTAAATTTTGGCCAACTGCTGCCCCCGCCCCACTGTTTCCTTTTTCCGCACTGTTTCGTGGTGTTTCGCTTAATTGTTCGCTGCTGCTTCGTGGCCAACTAAATACCTGTATAAATATTTTATTACGCAAATGAAACAAGCATTGTTTGCATTTTATTTGCGCGCACAAGGAAACGTCGCCAGCTGCAGCAGCCGGAAAATGCAGAGTGCGATTGGGGAAAGAAGGACATTTGTATGCAGGAAGGACAGCTGACCGCAGACATTGCCACAGGAAATGTAAAGCAGAATGCAAAGAATCCTCCGGAGGCAGCTTTTCCACCTGGGATTTCAGCCAGGTGCCATCTCTGCGGAGGGGAAACCATCACCATCCCACTTCTAAGCCCGATTCCAGGCAATCGTTCGTGATTGATTCAAAGCGATTGCAATTGGCAGCAAGGCCAAAAGAATTGTTTTGCCGAGATGCCGACACACAAAATGCCCCTCAATATTCCCATAGGATTAATTTGTTTTTTCTTTAGTGAAGGCTTTTCCGGAAATATATGGATATTTTTCATTAGGTTGTTACCTGTAAGCTTTGAAGTATGTAAATTACTTTAAAAAGTTTAAAAATTAAGACAAAAGAAGAGCACTTTGAAAGAAGTACGTTATAAAATAGAGTAAAACCAGTATTCCAATAGGTAAAACAAAGTCTCAAGCCAAGTGAAGCCAATTAGCCGAATGTTGAATGGCCAAATGGCTACCGCTAATTGAGTCAGATGAAAAGCCAAAAGTCCCCTATTAGAGTTAGTTGTTAATTGTTGTGTACCAATACCTATTAAAGGGGGAAAACTTAGGTACAAATTTGGAAAAAATCAATATAACAAATTACCATACTTAACTTTAGTTCACCTGTCATAGGCGGCTTATGAGTAATATTTGAACATAAATACCTTTAAGTTAAAATATTACTCATATGCCGTCTATGACAGGGGAATCAATGAGAGTTTAATAGCCTTTTCCAAACTATAGTTATTCGTCCCTTTTTCCACATTCAATCAACGCATAAATTATGACCAACTAGCATTAATCTCATTTGCGGCCCCACCAATGGGGATACACTAATATCACCCATACGCCGCGTGTGACAGCCGAGGGAAATTTTTCTCCCCCGCCACCGAAAGGCAAACATCACATCAATCAGAGGAATGGAACACAGCTGCTTGGCCACTGTCCAAACAATCAGGAAACGAGGAGCCATCGGAATTAGGCTAATGAAATGCTTGTTAAGTGAAAACGATGATGATAACAACATCCCCAGCTCGAAAAAAAGCACAAAACACAGTCATGGCAATCGATGAACAGACTGCTAGCGACATTTTCTATTGACCCACATCGTCATCTGTCCTCGTACGCTTAATTATTCATTATTATTTGACTTTTGTGGCTGTTTGTTTGCGTTCCACCCAATCTACCCAGTCCATTGAGTCGAATGGCTGTCAATGAGTCTCCATTTGTGCGGAGGATCGACCTAATGAGAACCAGAAAGTCCAGTCATCATTCGATGACCACTTTGCAGGCCCTTCTGGGTCAGGGTGATCGGCGGCCAATTAATTGCTGGAGGTAAGAATCTCAAGCGACTACAAGTTGTTAACTAAAGTCTATACACAAAAACTTTAATTGCAAGCCTTGAAAATTTGACAAAGTAAATGTGTTGGATTGACTCTACATCTGCATAGCAAGAATTTAAAAAGACAATTCTTACTTCAAAATTCTAGATTACATATTCATTCTTATTAGTATTATAATTTCAGTTAAAACTTGTCCATCAGTTTTAAAGTTATCTGGATAAAACTTGCCAATCGGCTTCTTTTTCTCTGGAAAATTATTATTTCATTATATTTCATGATATAGTCTTTTTAAAATAAAAACGGTTTTAATTTTTTTTTAGTCTGACGACTTATCTTCAGATCCAAATATTAAAAAAAAAAATAATAAAAAAATCTACACCATTTTTAATTTTTGCGGAAGAAAATTAAATAACTAATGTGCCTAAAAACATTTGTTTGAAAAAAAATCATATGCTCGAGAATGGAAATTTTGTCCAGATCTTTGACGCCCGGTAAAAAAAAACCCGAGAAGCAGAGTGAGTAGAACCACTCGAGCCACTCTTTCGTCCTTCCCCTTAAATGCTGTCAACATATGTGCATAAATTTCACACGTGGCGCCCAGCGATTCATGCATTTTACATGCACCAAAGGATTTCCCAGCTCCACTTTCCACCGCTACGCCAGAACCATTTTCCAACTCCATCGGCGAGCCATTGTCCGTGTTGCTGCTAAGTTTTTTTTCATTTCACATTTTCATTTTTTCCTCCATTTCGGGTTTTTGGTTCCTGCCTCAAAAAAACAGAAAAAAAGACGAACGTTGGGAATGGCAAGCGGCTTGTTTGTTAATACGAAGGCATTTAATTTTTAATCGCTGCATCCGACTCGAAGTTGACGTTGTCGCAGGTCCTGCGCCTCGTCCTCACCCACATCCTTCCACCTTTTGCTTTTGCGTTCCTTCCCAATTGTTAACCCAGCGCGTTACATATGTTTAATGAAGAGAGAGAACCGCACGCACGAGTTGCTCGAGCGCAGGATCTGAATTCCACGGGATTGGCAAGGGAGGGATATTGCACAGAGAGAAAAGGGGGGCACTGTAATCAGTTCAAAATGGTGAAACTAACAATCTTGTTCCAAACATAAGATGTTACTGCTCTTTTAATAGTGAGAAGTTTTGCGAGCTTGCATCTTTTATTGATTTGACAAGGTAACCAAACCGGTTCTATCTTTGTGTCAATATTATTTTTCTAAATTAATTACTAGTTATATATTTTCTCGATTTCCACATTTTTTGCCATATTTGATTTTCTTTCAGTGCACTTTTTGCGGTTGAAGTCTGACTTTGGCTGGCAATGCATTCAATGCCTCTGCAGCTCCGCGTATGAATATATATAAGCCGTGGGTGTGAGGCAGATAGATATGTATTGGATGCTCGCTTCTGACTCTGCGGCAAGTTATTATAACAGTTCATTGATTTTCAATTTTCAATGCATTTCATTGTTTGCCGTTTTTCCCTTTTTTTGTGCCACCCACAAGCGCTCTTTTCTCAATTTATCTCCATTCCTCTGGCATTGGGAATGGCTCAACTCGTGTCAGTGGCAACTGCAACAAATTTCCGCACTGCAAAACTCACTCGAACTCAAAAGTTCATTCCAAGTTTATTTTTGACGAGCCAACCAGCAAACAGCCAGGCATACAAAAATTAACGAAAAAAGAGTGAGGTAAAGAATTTAAATAATTTCGCGGGCTTAAAAATGCAATGAAATGCAATGGTTGGTCTCAGACGGAATTGTCCCAATGCAGATCCGGTTTATAATGCTTAAAGCTCGAGTTATTTATGACAGAAAAACGGAGGACATGGGCGGAAAAAGGGAAATGCTCTTCAATTGAGCAGGGATTTTTCCCTGCCACGCGGACAAAAAGAACGAGTGCCTCTCCATCGCTGATTATTTTCCTTTTTATTGCAAGTCCTTCACATTTCTCATCTTTGGGCTTACGTCTTCTTGATTGGACTTTAATGGTTAATTGCTTTGAATTCGAAAACCTCAAGTAACGAAGTAAACACTTATATTTGAAAAAGTTTTTAAAGCAAGCCTTGTATTGTTTGTTTTTCGATTATTTCAAGTCGATATCACAACTAAATAAGCCCCAATTCAAATAGGTCACGCCAAAAGACATTTACCCCTGTGAAAAATATAACAACAGCAAAACAAACGAGTAAGTAACTAGATTTAAACAGCTTTGCTGAAATAATAATGTTCGAAATTAAAATAAAGATCTCTCTGAAAGCAAAAATCTCATAAATATGTACCTACTTATTTATGTGGAAAATTAAACGATTTTTTCGAGTTCTATTAAGCCTCAGAACTTTCCCATCTTAACGTTTTATCTGCAACTTTTTAGTAATGCACCACGTGCTGAGGTCGCGTCGTTTACCCACGGATCCCAGCATCCTTATGAACTGGGTAAATGCTCTGATTGAAAGTGACTTTTGTTCTCTGGAGGATCTGCGCAGCGGTATTGTCTGGTGCCACTTGCTTGAGGCTATATACCCCGGCTCCATTGATCTGGAATCCCTGGAAGCGGACAAGATGGGTTGGCAATGGAACTACCGAGTGTTAAAGAGGGCTCTCAATAATTTGGGATTATATCCACACATTAATGTGCATGAATTGGTCTCGGGTCGAGTTGGGGACACCATATATCTTCTGCACTTCTTTATCGACGTGTTTACTGTGATTTTGGGAAGAAAAATTAAAGACAGGGAGCACCACTCCAGCAAGGAGCCGAGGAATTTTAAGAGTTCGTCAACAATTGAGGTCATTGTGCAGTGGTTCAAGAGCTTCTTTGTGAAGGAGAAGGAGGTAAGAATTCGTGTGGATTTGATACATAATCGAAATTCGTAAGATTCATCATCGATGTTGATTCCTAGAAAGGACCGGAGGAGGAGGAGTCAGACGAGAAGCGCCAGCTGGAATTTCATCGCCAGGCGCTTCTACTGCTCTTCCTACCGATTCCGGATGGATGCTCTCCCGTTTCCACCGAGGAAATGGTTCGCCGACTTGGCGACCGAAACTTCTGGCCGGAGCAAGATGATCGAAATCATCCGAGTGCGGAGCGATTGGCGGCTTATCGACGACAAAAGAACGAGGATCACCGGATACTGCGATCTTTGGTGGAATCCTGCATGCATCTCCGGCGTGGCAGGCAATTGATGGAACAACTTTGGCTGGCCAGTCTCAAGGAGCATCCCGCTAAATAGGATTCTCATCCTGCGACCTTCTCCACCTTTCATTTCTGCGTGTCCTTTCCGGCTGTCAGCTGTCCGACACTTAATACACGTCTTAATAAGGTTTCCCGTCCGTCCACTATGCTCAGAGTTTTCCTTGGTCAAACTGTCTTTTTTCTCCTCTGTTTTTTTTTTTTCCACGCCATCCGACAGGCGGAGGACAACAAGAGCTGGCGTGCCCCTAACTTTGTTTACTTGTAATTACTTTGACCTTGTGAGGCGTGCAGCGATGTCCTGGAAAATTGAGGGTGTCTCAGGGGAAAAAAGATGGTGGAGATGGTTCAGTACAGTAGCGTAAACTGGATGTTTTCCCAACATACTTTCCAGATATATCAATCAAATATCGTTTTCACTAATAAACTTGTAAGCAAATGCATTTCAGAATTTGTCTTCAAATTAAAGTTTGCAAAGCTAAAGCGATTTTTAAATTGAAAAATAGTTTTTGAATTCCGATCGACTTTTTCCGCCCATGGTGGCAGTGTTAAATTAGTTTTTTCTTTCCTATTCACAGCAAAGGTTTCTGTTCGCCGTCGTTCTTGCCTGCCTTCACTCCTCTTTTTTCTTTTCATTCCCTTTAATTTTGTTTGGTTTTTTTCGTCAGCGAATTGCCATTACAATTTCATTTGAGTTCAGTTCGTTTCAGGACCCCTGCTCAGTGACCTGCCGCGCCCCATTCCGCGTTTTACAGGTATTTAATTTGATTGTTCTGCATTCGCTCCCCCGTGGCGGTGAATCGAGGAAAGGAGGGGGTTCGTGGGTTATGTCTTTATTTAAGACCGCTCATAAATTTTAATTATGTGCATTTTTAAATACGTGACCCTTTCGTCTCTTCGCCTTCTCCTTTTTTTCTCAGGCAGTACATAATCATCGCTGTTGAAGCATTAAATAAGCCCTAGAATAAAAGAGGTGCTGGTTGGTCGGGAAACCTTGCCTATCGGAGGGTTGTTGTCTCTATTTCCGTTTCGGCTGCTCCTCCTTTGTGTTCCACTCGGGCGGGAAGACAAGCTCATCAATTAGGGGAGGACAAAATGACCTGACACCCTTGTGACCCCAAACAATGACCCTTTTCCAATGCTCCAAATGGAGTTCGATGTCATCTAATTGCTGAGTTAAAGTCAGCTGGCCCGTAAGAAATATTCATTAATTTTTAAATTAAAAGAAAATTACCAATTAAAGTCTTTTCTATATTTTTTATTTTTTTAGTTCTTAAACGATGTTGAACTTAACTTATGCTTTTACCTTACCATATATGCTATTTAAAAGCCGTCTGACTTTCGCATTTTATAAAATGTTAGTTATTTTGGTATAAATGTTTTTAATTTTGCGGGGTTAAGAAGCATCCTATTATGTCAGGGTGTCTGCTATGGCTTCGAAGTCCAATTAGCCAGCTCGAAACGCCCCACTTGTTAACGCTTCAGTTGTTTTTCGTCGGGATTTGAACCGAGCACGACCTTTTCGATTGCCAGCACCCGCGACACTTTCGCCATTTGCAACATGCAACCTTGCAACATTTCCATATACTACAGAATTGAAGGCGGGCCCAAAAGCGAAGCCGCAAAACCGACAATCAACATTTAAAGTGATGATAGGGAGAGTTGCCCTCTGGAAAACCCCCTCTTTCGCCTAAAAATCAGTGTTGGAAAAGAGGTACGCCTCTATTGTACCTAGATAAATATAATGTATTTGAAATATTATTATGAAATGTGAGTAAAGTTGAATAGAGGAAGATTCTACATTTGTTTAGCCCAAGTTTTAGTACCGCCTTTTTATGTTTACCCCAGTAAATTAAAAATAACACTTAGGTAAAATAACTAGGTACTTGTTAACCTAGCCTATGCCTTTTAACCAGAGCGCGTCAATTACATTTTCGATTGCTTTTCGGCTGGGTGTTGCAATGCGGAATTCGCCTCTCGGGTTTGGCTTTTGGCTCTTGGGGAAACCCATTCCCCCGCCTAACAATGCACAATCCCAACATTGATTTAGTGCTGCCACCAACAGACGGTTTGGTTGCGACTCGCAGAAGAGTCGCCAAATGCACATCGATATAGTTATTATGGCTTTTGGCTACCGCTTTCCATTTGGGAGAAGGAAAAACGGTTGGCAAACTGGGTGGGGAAAACCCGACCTCCGGCTAAACCCAACTAATGGAAGTTGGGTCATTGAAAGTGCGCCACGAAGCAGACGATGATCTTTAGGTGTGGAGCGACCTTATAATTAACCCTGAGTTTGAAAAGTATTCAAGCGGATTAAGTGGAGAAAATTCGTGATCGATACAGATTAAGTGATCTCTGTTATTTTTCAAAGCAATTACTTAATTATAAATCTTCGTTTAAAACTGACTCTACTTACAAATGATACATTTTTAGATTATCGAATTTTAAGACCATAATTAATGATTTCATTGACAGTTAATACATCTACACATACAACAAATTTTGTTTACTTATTTTCTTATTTTCATTAAAACCATCCAAATATATATGATTTATGTTTACTTTTCTTTTTTTTTTCACTTTTAAAGAAAATTCCCTGGTTATTTTACTTTAAATCCATTTTGCTATTATTAAGGTAAATCAAACTCTTCTCTAGCTGTATGCCAAAAAATTCTGTTCCCTACTGAACCGTTTATCGGGAAGTTAAGTTCCTACATCCCTATTATTTCCGTGTTTCCAACTAACCCAGTTACTCAGTGATCACTACATTCAACAACTGTGGTAAAGTAGTTCCATTAACTGAAGTCGACTTGGCTACACTTCACTCCCAGGGCTCATCATACATCATTCAGCATTAGCAACTGGATTTAGTTGCACTCAATCATGGGTGTAGGTGTGCCTCCCATTTCGAAGCCCCGTTTATACTCTTGCTAAAGGCCATTATTATTTCTGTCAAGAGTTCACAAAGCAGTCAAGAAGGCATTTCTGGATCAGCAACGGCTGGCCGTTTCTACGCAAACTTTAAAAAATCGCACGACTATCTCAAATAGCTACCTAAATACCATGTGCGAATAAAAATTTAAATATAGAATATTTAATTTTTTTAACAGCTTCAAGGGTAGAGTAATTAAAATTTGGCTAGCTGAAGTTACTACTTTTTTCCGTTCCCTCTGAATACCTTAAGCCGTCTAAGTGCAAACAGTTTGTTGTCTGTTCATTCTGGAAATATATAATGCATATGCCGTCGCCCTCTTTTCCCCCTCCCATATCAGCAATAATTAAACTTTTGTCCGATATCGACAAGTTTCCATTCGCATTCCCGCCCCTCTGAAGTTGCAGAATGTGTATCTTTTTTTTCTGGGCGGGGACGCCCCAATAATATTTTTGTTGAACGGCCACTTTCGGAAAACGTAGGAGGGAAATACAGCAGCGGCAGAAGAAGTAGTCCTTTTTATACTATTAGTATAAGAACATTTTAGAAAAATTTTACCGACGTATTTATTTTTGAATTTGTTTGTAAAATTGAATATACAAAATTTTATCTATTTATTCTCAGTTACAAACAAACCGATTTGAATTGTATATTATTAAGAAATAACAATAAAAATAAATAAAAAATAAACTTATATAAACATTTGTTATTGCTAAATAAAAATGAATTATTATTTTTATTGTTATTTCTTCTGTCGCCACCGTACAAAGTGGGAAATTGCAAAGCAGAGGCGTCTAACCAAGTTGTTGTTGTTGGTTGCCGATACGCAAAAGTTGGACAGACAAAATCAACCCCCCTCCCCTTTAACCAATACCCCTATAAGTTGGGTGGAGCCTCTTCCAGCGGTATCTATGTGTATCAGTGGCCAGGATTTATGTGTTTATATTGCGAGTTTGAAGTTGGTTTTGGCAGTACGCGCCTTTCTGGGGCAGCTTTACTACAGGGGTGCCGATTGCGAGGGGGGCATTGCTATGCGGTTGCACAACTGTCGGCCTGAGCGCATAAATTGCAGCTCCGTTCATGTTTCGCAAAAAACTACCAAAAACAAAACAAACCAATTTTACGGGGCGAAATATTGGGGAAGCATAGTGGCCAGACAAGTTGCCAAGTTCGCCCCCCAAAGGGGAAATCCTGCAGGAAAGGATGGAGTTAAGTTCGTCTATCGAACAATTTTGATTGAGGGATGCAGTCGATATTCGATTGTCAACTTATAATTTTTGAGGTTTCCATGCTTTTCAGATGTTTCAAAAAAGTTTCATGATTAGTTTCGTATCTACTTGTACTCCAATCCATTCGATATTTATTATTCAATCAATTTCCTCTGTCTGGAAATTATGTTGCCAATCCATTTTCACCTACACTCCAAGCCCCATGAAAATTTATAAAAAATATATTTTAAATGAATGCCGGCTTGCTTGCCCTCGGAGACTGTAAATGAAAAAGTTTTGATTGCTTTTAGCAACAACAAAAAAAATGGCGAACGGGGAAAATATGATCATAAGCCATGCAGCGAGGAAAACGGGAAAAAATTGCGATGCAAAAGCACATTTTTAGCATATTGCCAGGCCCTAAAACCCCGCACTTCTTCTGCCCCAAAAAGGAAAAAACCCTCAACACATCGCGCATAAATCTTGCACCTGAAAAGAGGAGGCGGGTTATGTGGGGACGTGGCAGGGAGCACAGGTAAGGAAGGTGCTAATGGCAATCTGTAGTGTGTGTGCAGGACCAAAAGGAGCATTTCTGTGCGGGGAGTTATTTTTTCCAATTTTCAATGTAATTTCTGTCAATCCCACCGCCCCCCTTTACCCATGCCCCTCTCTTCGTCATCCCTCTTGGCAGATTTTTTATTGGCGCGATATTGAAAATTATGCGAAAGCGATTTGTGCTTCATTTTGGGAAATGAAAAAAGAGGAAGAGTATGTGCTGTTGGTGGAAAAAGGGTTAAGGATGTAAGGGAAACACTTCTGCCAGCCTGGGGGCTAATGGTGCATCTTAAAAGCAAAATAATAATGCAGTGTACTTATAAATTTTGGATAATAAAAATTCTTTATAGCGAACAAGAACATGTTGCCAATCATGTTTGTTAATGGATACTTGAAGGAAAGGAAAACGTCTGAAGAAAAGTAAGACTTTTAATTTTG